ATATTCCACCAACCACTTTCGGAAATGAAATCATTTGCACCTTGTTGCCAGAACAACGAAGTTGCAGCCAAGTTAATAACAGCAAAAATGTTTTGCCTTTGCAAATTGTCGGCCAAACTCTTGCCATTTGCCAAGACCATGTTGCCACAACCAGAAGGAATGGACATTTGGACCCTTGTTCCATCAATAACCGACTCTCCACAGGACAGCAAATGCGTTTAATGTGTCCAACAGTGGGCAAGGCATACCTTTTTGAATTTTTAGAAGATGGGGGGTAGGCCCACATGATGACCCATCGATTGGTGAAGTGTTCCATGGGCTTGTGATTGAAGTGCTTGTTGCAGCAGTTGGACAATGGCGGAGCAGTCAGTCACCGGCTATTAGGCGGCCTTCTGCCATGTCCTGCATGTCCTGAACATTCTTCGCTCTTTGAAGGACAATTGGTGCGGGTCCCTTGCTTGGGCGAAGCGCATTGTTTGCCCAGCCAGAGGGTGACAACTCACTTCAAATCGCTCGGTGCACAACGTGAGGAGATGTCCTGCTCCCAGGTCCTAGTTGCTATAGTCCTTCCAATCTGGACACCATCTCTCGGCTTTTTTGTGTCGCCGGGCATGCAGATGTCGCCTGCTTAATGCCCGGTGCTTTGTAAGCCTGCTGCAACAGTGACGCAGTTGGTGCCAAAAAAGAAGCAATCTTGCGGAAAGGGAATACTGGTGATGGTGTTATGGAGTGCACTTAAAGCATTGTCATGTCATCCGCTTTAAAGGGAAGTTCCCCCTAGACGACCCGCCAAACCCATTGTCTATGCATGCAATTTTCACTTTACCCGAATGCGTGCGCCCGCTGTGAAATATGCACACGCTTAAATTGTTAATCATACGCAGTGTGGACCGTCGCAGCTTCCTCTCGCGCTCAACCAATTCCGTAGAGAGCTGCTCTGCAGTCCGAGTGTGAGGCCAGCACTCAAAGAAATTATGACAACAAAAAACAGACATAATTCTTCTTTTATTTATATGACAAACAGCAAAACGAACAATGAATTTCTGAATTTAAGCTGCTTATAGATACATTTTTAAGACAATGGTTTCATATGCTTTTTGGTATCTTTACGTAAAATGTGAAAAGTACATATAATAGCAATGCGTAATAAATATTTGCTTCCTAAATGGCAATCCAAAAACAATAACCAATTTAAATCCCTAAACTGAAACAAAAATGTCTTTAAAATAAAATTAATGAATAAATGCAATGCCTTTTCAAAAGGCTTTAGATGGATTACTGGGTTTCCCTTTAAAATTTATCAATTAAAATGCTGAAACGTAGAAATATATTAAATCATAAAATTCCAGCCAAGTTCAAGTTACGTAATGGCTGTAATCTTGCCAAATTATTAGGCCGCTTTGATGTTTCAGCTAGTTAGAGAAGGCAACTTTCATCCTACGGCTAATGAGCTGCCTTTGGGCAACTTGGCCCATTGGCTTCCCTGTGGCGCGTCGCGATGTCAAAGTCCTGCTTAACGCCATTACCATGCCTGATTACAGTAATTACTAGCCAAAGTGGCCCGTCAGAGTTCATTGCACCGCAAATTGAGCGCTATGTAAGCTCATAGTTGTCTAGACTGTGGACAATGGCAAGTCAAATTAATTGTCAAACAAAGACGTAAGTACATGGAAGGACAAACAAGGAGGTTGCATTATTATCCTCGTTGACGTATTGATATTTTTTGGCTGGACATTGAACTTATAGATACATTATCAGGATTTACCAATGAAGCTTATTATTAAGAACTTTTCATTGTTTTCTCTATACTGTCTAATGCTCTTATGCCCAAACTAAAAATTAATTAATTCCATTTGAAAGTCTCCTTTGGGTGCGCCTTCATTGATAATGCCAAAGCATTTGTCCTGTTATGACCTTTTCGGTGCCTTCATAGCCTCGGGTGGATAACACTGAATTTGCCAAATAATACGATATAATCATGCTATTATACGCAACTCTGGTTGAGTAATTATCAGTCAATTATTATAGAATACAACCAGAACTAATGATTTGCGAATTCTCTTATTGAAGATTGAAATCCAAGCCATATCAATTTCACACTCTACTATGCATAAATGCCACAAACCATATTTGGGCAATATTGAAAGGATTTGCTCATTTATGTTGAGTTCCTTTGAGTTAACAATGCGAATCTGTAGTTGGATTTAATAACATTTTGGGATTTCTAATTAGAGCCTCTACCTGTAATTATCTGAAAATTGAGTTAATTTGCTTTTGATTTTGGTGTTTCACTTTAATAACCTTAATATTTATGCCAATTTAAAACGTATGCTTTTCAACGAGGCTTTTGTAACTATCCATAAGTTTTTTATATATCCCATTTTATGGTATTAATTTATTCCATTAACAAATTAATTAGTTTTTCACCTCTTTGCTTGCTGCTCTTAATGGTTAATAATTCACACAGTAAGCTAAATTAAAGCTTCATTTTGTGCCTTAGGCTTCTGCAGTACAAAAAATTGTGTACATCATTTTTTCGTACGTTAAGCGCTTTTCTTAACTTTGTGTGTTAACTTTTTTGCGTGGTCGGGTTTTTGTGGCGAATTTACAAGCGCAGGTGTGAAATGTAAATGCGCCAAAGTTGAGCTGAGTTGAGTTTAGCTGAGTTGGGCTGAGTCGACTGCCACAGACATACCCATACACACACACACACATATATACGCCACACACACACACATATTTGGTTCTGCGCGAACTTTAATTACTTTGGCCAAAGTTAAAGGCGTGTGCAAGTTCTCGTATAACTTTTTAATTAGTTGCCTGCCATCGCATTTGCCTTCAAAGCAATCAACGCGTCAGCAATCGGCACCAGCACGTCCTGCAGTCACTGGGTCAGGGATCAGGGGTTGAGGGGTGGCTAAATGGCTTGTCCTCGCCAAAACTGTCGGTTAACATGATGTTAACATGCAACCGAAAGTGCAAAGGCAAATAACAATGGGATCCCTTCATGTCTGACATAGTTATGTCATCTTAAAATGGCCACATTTTGTAACTAGATTGGTTATTAAGGATAATTATATATATTTTTAAGTATTAGTGCTAGCGATGGTACTCATTATATTTTTAATGACAAAAAACATGATAAATTGCCTTAAATTAGCTTCAAACTTAGAATACTGATCTCCACATTTATATACCTAAAAACATTTTTTAATGTTATTATAACTTTAAGTAACTTATTCTTTCATAAAACAAAAGAACCATCAAGCTGTCAGCACTGCCGGAGAACACCTCCAATCCCTTGATGTCAATAAAACGAGGCACTGCCTCTTTGGAGTGACAGATGCATCAGCATGATGACATTGTCTACGCCGATGGCGGCAATATGCCTGATTTATTTATACAGGGCTGACACTGACACAACCACCCACCACCACCACCGCCAGTTATGACCACGTTTCTTAATCAAGTTTGCGATATGCATACGAGCCCACTTGACTCCCACTTCCTTGGTCCTTAATCCGTTGCGGTTATGATGGCCGACGGCGTTTGATATGTAAACCTACCGAAAGCTGGCTAATTTGTAGCTGCTGTCTATGTGGTGCATTATTGGATTACGCTCTTAAGGGGCGGGGTATTGGATGTGTGTGTGTGTGTGGGCTGTTACTGCCGCGGGGGCGTGTCTGAAGTGAATATAAATAAGCCTTAACTCGCTTCCCATCCGGAGCACGGGCCACGCAATTGCGAATGTTTTATGCAATTCGGAGTAAAACAAATCACATACGCAGCACATGAAAGCTCAATGGGAAAGCAATTGAAGGTTCCGGGAAAATTACGATGGAGGTAAATACACTTTGCAAAAGGGATTTAAAGCTTTTAGGAATTCAAAACAATTTCAATACCTTCACTGAAAATGTAAAACATGTTGATTTAATATTTACAAAGCTGATAGTAATGTAATCTGATGCTTAATCTGTTTATATTCCCTCTAATCCTACTAGGATGCACTTTTTATTGGACTTGCAACAAACTAAAAGATAAAGCAATTTAATATTTAAACACATTGATTCGTTAAGCAAACATTTAGATAGCAAAAAAAGGGGAGAAAAAGAGTATCGCAATGATTGCCAAGTTCAGTTTACCGACCGAATCCTGTGCGAATACTGTGCAAGTGCGTACGTGTGTAAGGGTGAGTCAATCAATCAGCCATTCAAGCCATTTAGTCAGTCAATCAATCAGAGCGCCGGCATTGGACGTGAGCGTCATTCTAATCGAAAACCATTTTTTAATGCGCCCCTTAAAATGTTTCACAGTCTTGCCCAGACTCCTATAATCAATATTAAACTATGTTCTTGCAACACAGCTCTATGAGTTTAGTTTTCAGAGAAATCTGTTTTGCTAAACATAAACCAGATAGCAGCTTAGCACTTAAGTTTCTAAGACATTTATTCGACTTTGACTACACTTAAACTTAACTATTTCCCCATAATTAAACTCTTGTTTGCCTATAGCTCATATGAAATCGGAATTATAGTTGCTTCAGGTAAATTTTGCTGAACAATCACAGAGTGCTCTTATTATCACTCGAATCGGACACATTTGCCTGGCAAATGGTAGCTGGGAGGATTATGAAATCTTTATGTGCAAATTATGAAGCAATTTGCCATGGCCCCAAAGTCAAATCCTTGCCCCGAAAAGAGACTCTGGTCTCTGGCTTGGAGTATCTAACTGGTGAATATCCCTGCCGCAAAGTGCCCGGCAAACATATAAAAGTGTCCCACAAACGAGATATGCGATATGCACATTGCACAAGCCTCTGAATTGTCTCCTTGAAATAGAAAAAAGTAATAGAAAGAGAATTATAAGATATTCTATAAGCTGCATTGGCAATACTCTAAGGAGATTGAAAAGGGGGATATAAAAATTCTGAATTCCTTCGATCGTAAGGAAGATATTTTTTCTATGGTGGTTTCCTTTATGGAGTTATAGAAAATTCCTAATGAAGTTTTATAGTTTATTCTTATCAAGTTGGGAAATGGCTTAATAGCTTTTTAAACCTGGACTCAAAAATATATGTTTTTGGTTTTACTTTTAACAAGCGGGGATTTCTCGTTCAGCGACCGACCACTTATGCTCTTATTAACAACAAATATAGAACAGATTTAAAAGTCATTGCAAAACGTAACCAATGCGAGGTGAGTTTGAGGTACGCCACATCGGAATTCTAGTCTTGCTTAAGCACTTCAGCGGTCTTCAGAAAGTAGGGTTGCACCAGTTTGTGGTAGATGATGATGGAACCGTTCCGTTCCAAGGGCAGCATGCACCAGACAAGGAAGACACTTTTCAACAGCCAGTAGAAGGGAATCACGGAAGTCAGCAGGCCGGAGAAGAATTCAATCACAGTAAAGATTCCAAATGTGACCCAGTAGATCAGCCATTTGGTGTCGTCATACTTTGTACTAGACTCGATGGCATGGATGGAGATATATGCGGGGTATAGCACTCCAATGATGTTGCACAGCAGTTGGGCGCCATAGCCGAAGACTAGGTAGAGAGCGCACAAGCCAGAGGCAATGAAGAAAATATTGACCCTATCCACGCCGGTCTTCTCCTCCAGGGAATCGAAGACTTTGGTCCAGGGCTTGGAAGCATCACGAAGTGCACCGGCAAAATTCTGTTTGTAGCCCCTGAAGAATTGTTGCACCTGAGCTACGGGGGCGGCCATGTTCACCAATAATATTTCAAAATATAAGTTTGTCAATCAAAAATATGCGAGACACTTTCCCAACACTTATTCGGATTCCAGTAATATATATTTCATATTTTTCGAACTATAAGACTAAGGGAACTATCTTAAATCTACTTAATTATCAGATAAATTTATAAGTTGAAGAAGTTTTTGCTTTTGAAATATTAAAGAAACCTTCTCAAAAACAGAAATGGTTAAACCTTGCTGCCTTGTATTGAGTGCGTATTCTCAAAGAAAGGGTATCATTGGTGCAAAATAAGTTGGATGTCAGCAGCAGGTCTAGAATGGTGAAAGGCCACAGAGCCCCAAGGATCGGAGGGGAGGGAGCAATTGAAATGGCATTAACATTTAGCAAACGGCAATGGCATAAGATAGCAAAATGCCAGAGACGCAGCTGCACTTGGCCAAAATCAAACAATTTCGTTGAGCGTCTGCGAAAATTGCACGTCTGCAGCCGGTCGCATTGAACGGCAGTCGGGGATGCTTGGAACTCGGTTTAAATTCGAGTTTTAGTTGCCAGTCGAGAGTTGAGAGTTGTGTGCACGTTTCGATTCGTTCCGTTGGATTTCATTTGATTTGCCGCCTCAATTGCGCACTTTTGTGCGGTCCAAGTCAAATAGTCAATGGCAGTGGCAAGTGGCGGCCGCAATGGCAGCCGCTGTGGCAATGGCAATGGCAATGGCGATGCCTCAAACAATTCCTCCTTTGCCCGGCACACAATCACTCGAATATTGAGTTTTAATTTCCGGCACCTTTTTGCTGCTGCTGTGTGCCGACATCTGCCGCCGCAGGATATTAAAAATGAGTTGCATTTTTCTGCCTCTACATTAGAATCCTTGCACTTCATTTGCATATTGTTCAAGTAACACTAATGAACTCAAAGAAACTCCAAGGCTCTCCGGAATTTATTCAAGTTTATGTGCAGTAAATAACTGCTGCATTGCATTGCATCACCACAGTCTGCAGGTAATGCCAAACTTCCGGACTGGCCACCACCACTACTACCCTTTCGCATGCCACTTCATTAAAATCATGCTGGGTTACTACACCTACATACATACATACATAGTGGTATATGTATATATATTTTAACTCAACGAGGAGAACCGAAAAAGGTTTCGCAAAACCATCAAGCCTGTGGCTAGGGCAACTGACCGAAAACCATTATTAAAGTCGAGCAGCTTAAAAATATGCATGGCAGGGCGGCAACCACAGCACAAAAACATTGCACAATGGGTGCAGCTTTGGGCCAACATTGCGTATACGTAACATATTGCTCTACGGCCATTTAAATGTATTTATGCAAACAGCAGCCACAACAGCGGGGCGTTGACTGGCTGTATCTAAGAGCATAGAAGAGCAGTCAACCCACTCAGCAAATTGTCAAAAGCTGCTTACTGTTTTCCATATTGTAAAAGAGCAGTGGCTGAAAGGACAGTTGGATTTTCGAGGAAAGAATTTAGCAGGATTGGGTATCTAAGGGACTTAAAATTAATTAATTGGAGGGAGTTGGTAAGTAAATTAACCTTGTGACTTTGGGTTTATTCCAAAGGTTAGTTAGGAGAATAAAAAAGTTTTTTACATATAAAAGTTTGTAATGATTTTACAAGTTTTCAGTATCAGTTTCATAGTAACTTTCAGTAGGAAAATCACATAATTTATCTTGGCAGAACTGCTAAACAGATACAATAAGCTAACTTTCCAATACAGATATATCTGCCACATGGTTGGTGGTATGAGAGGCAATGGAGCGGAGTGGCAGGGCCAATAAGGAGTAGCTGCTTAGTGAGCTCGAAAGTGTGCAACAGCTTGGAAATAGTTGCCCACCGCACACGCGGCGTATGCGCAACGCTTTGTCGACTTGTTGTTGAGTTGTCGCCATCGTTCTGTGGCTAATGGCCTGTCCCTTTTTCTCTATTCTCTCGTCTAAAATTCTCCTTTCTCCCCTCGATCCCGTCGCTTGCCCTTCATCTGTTTCTCGATGTCAGTTCACTTCCGAGCCATCGCCTGCAACAAATGCTGCAAATGAGCTGACAGAGGTTATGATAGTGCACATACTGCCATAACGTGGGTCAAACTATCTCGTGACGGGCACTACTATTACCACTACTGGGTAACTGGGTGCGGTTCCTTCGGCCCCATTAACTATCAGCTATCCGGAGTTCAATTAAAGTGCCAGCCATTAGTGCAAGGACAGACATTTACATGATGGCTTCGCGTTCGCTTAATGGCTTACGCGTCGCCTTAACACTCACTTCATTTTCATTTCCATTTCCATTTCCTGTTTCCATTTGGCCCCTGCATTCTCATTTAATTACGCAAAAACGCAGTGCACACCTACCTAGAACTCGTGCATTATTAGACACTTTCCATTCGCACATTGTGTGCCCCAGACAAAGTTGAAAGAGTTACCCATTCATTTGCGTACAACAACGGAGCGAGAAAATATGCAGAGGCGTGTTTGGAGAAGTTACAAAAGTCATACATTGCCCCAGCATGGAACAGTGGGTGTTATTTATGGGAAAACAAACTGAATTGGGTGAAATAATCTTTTTTTTTGCTTATTCCTTGGTAAACTTAATTCTTATAGATACATATTTATGTTAAAATAATTAATTAAATAATTAATTATAAAATTGTTTAAAATCCAAAACTACATAGTTGGCTGTATTATATTTGTATTAACATTTACAAACTAACTTATATTTGAGACTGTTTTACTATTTACACTCCACTGTTTGGAGGGCTTGGCACTGGGTCTCTTTGCGTTATTGTTTTGTTTATGTTTTTTAAGCATCTGATATATTGGCAAAGTTTACGCCTTGTCTCGAGTGCTCGGCCCAGCCCAGGCAAATGAAGCAACTTTGTGAGCAATACTACTCCATTGTGACCACTCAGCTCGTCTCTTTTCCGCCAAGCATTTCCCAGAAAACTGCACTTTGTCGCCGGAACCGACACCCCTGTGTTGTCCACTAATTGCCTAAAATATTTAAACTTGTAATGCCCTTAACGTGCCGCTTGACGTGTGCTATATGTATGTGTGTGCTCTGGCTATTTTAAATTTGATTGTACAGGTAAATATTTGCCAGGCGAACAGCCAGTGGGGGCGAAGAGGCGAGAAAGCTTGTTGGTTGCGGTTTTCACGGTTTTCACGGTTTGTTTGTGCGCACTGCTTTCGTTTTTATTGCATTTCCCCTCTTGTATTGCCATTGGTATTGGGCTTGCATGGTCTGCACAAAGTGGCTTAACATTCGGTCCTATCCTAGTCCAATTTTTGCCATTTGCCAACAAATGCGTTTTTAGGCTCTATCTCAGAGTTGCAGCAGGGCAGCATAGAGATCCTAACCGAAAACGCAGTTATATTCGTATACACAAAAAATCAATAAAATCAACAACCAAATATTTTGTGCACTTGCCAACAGAAAGCAACCGAATAACGAAAATAAAATATGCAAAAGCCAACGAGGCGGCGTAAATGCGGTAGATTTATTTTTACTGAGGGCAACAAGCCGCAACAAAAAGCACAGGCTCAGGTGGGGCTATTCTGACTAAAAATATACTATATTCAACAAAAGAACTTCCTGAATGAATTTGTGCTAGCTATCCAGGTGATCCACCTACGGAAATAGATATTTAGGTTCGTATTTAGGGTGACGTATTCAGAAATTTCAAATTTTCGATGTACGCCGTAAAGTATGCTAATAATTTCAGCAATTTATCACTTAAGAGAATAATTCATTAGTTTTAAATCAATAACTTTCTTATTGCACTGTGTAGAGCATCAACATTTTACATACTCCTTCAATAAATTCAAAGTGCATTTAGTTTTCTTTCTGTTCTCTTATCCTATTTTGAATAACAACAAAACAAAATGAAAACCTCTAAACAAAAAGCCTGCAGCAATAAAATATTTTCCCACATCCTCGCTAAAGTTGCTTTTGGTCTTATCAAAGCTGAAAATAAACATAAAGGATTTCGAAAAAGTGCAAACAGGTTGTGTATTTACACTATAAATGTGATTTGAAATATATTTTCGGAATGGAAATCAAATTCATATTTTATTTTCACACAATTTTTATTTTCTTTTATGAAATTTGTAAATCATCCTTGGAATCTGTTTTTTTTTATTTGGGTAGAGTATTTTAAAAGAATTGTTTTCAAATTGTATCAGTTTTACCCGTAGTCACATATAGAGATATGCAAGTTGGGAATTTTTCATATTATTTTTACCATTTTTCCTGACTAAACGCGATTTTTACGCTCGAAACGGAGCGCAGTTAAATGGGCCAAGCGGCTTTTGCCGCGTTTGATGTACGAGCAAATCGAATCCAACATTGATAAAAATTTATGCGAGTTTTATCAAGTGTTTACGTGGCATGAAAAATAGAGCGCTGCTCCTGCATGCAAATCGCAGAGCCGCCCACCGTCATGTAGCACGTTACGTATACGCACCGGCTGTCAAATGAATTTAAATTTAAATTTAAGGGCATGTCAGTTGCCTGTCGGGTTTGCTCAAGTGGTGCTTATTGTTTTTACATGAGAAACACCCTCTCGAAAGAGGCTTATCAAATGTGTAAAGTGCGTTCGAGTATTTAAAAAAGGCTCTGGGCTCTTGGTAAATATCTAAGGAGTCCAACTCGGTAACTTTACGAAACTGACAGAGGCACAATGGGCGGTTTGAGGTGAGAAGCTGGATGAAGTAGGGCGTTGCTGGATGACGCACGTGTGTGAGTTCTTTGAACTTTGTTTAACTTTTCCTGAGCCCTCTCTCGCAAGGCGTCAATTAAATGCTTATTAAGCCTTAACCAAGTCTAAAAGCTGCTGCTGCTGTTGGCACACCTTAATATATAATGACTGAGAAACTTTTCCACGATTAGCGTGCCATAAGTGTTTTTCAAAACAAATAACAAAAATTACGAAACAATTTTAATGAATTTTGTGCAGAGCAAACCATGCGCTGATCACTCTTTTGTCAGGCTAATTAAAGCCAACAA